CCTTCCCAGACTGAAACTGCAGTGGTCAGGTGATAACGACTAAGTCCAGGTATGAAACCTGTAACGGCATATGTCCCCGTCTAAGTAAATGTGTGCCTAACGGCGGCGTCATTGAAGTCACGTCAAAAAACAACATCAATCATGGCTTATAATCTGCATGTAAAAAAAAGAGAAAATAATAAACATATTAAAACGGCAATATTTTAACTTTCATATTCTATTTTACCGTAACATCAGCATAAGACAATTTCAAGTACAAGACGAATGATTATAAATTTATCCATATATGTTTATTAGTAGTATTGTATTAATTATTTTAATTAGTGTCACGAGCGGGATTCGAATCCAGGACTTTTAGCTATAAATTTACTTATTTAGTATTTATTAATTTTCTTGTTATTCATTTGAAAATTGTATAAATGTTAAAATAGTAAAGAAAACAAGAGTAGAAATGATTATATAAACCTAATTGCTATACAATTAGTACAACGGCTTTATTAAAAATGATAAGATGGATGAGCCCTGTTCATTATATCCCCAACTATGAAGGTCAAGTGCCTTATGAAAGTTATGTTTACATTGTTGGTAAAAGAGATTATTTACAAAAACAGTGTCGTCTTTCTGTAAAAGCGGAACGTTTAACATTTTAACCAAAGGACATTTTACGGCCGGCTTTTATTTGCAAGCGGGCAACTGGTTCAGTGGTTAAAGCTCTACCAAAGGGTTAAAGGGTTCGAAACCTTAACACATTAAAAAACTTCGCTTTAAAATCAAACCAAAAAAGTGCGAAACGGCAGTCTACAATTTTAGGCTAACAGAGAATGTGGATGTAAGGAAATGGACTAATTTAACTGTAATAAAACTGTTGCTGTCATAAAAAAAACCGTTTGTATTAAAATTACAAAAACCTGTTTATTTTTGCCCTCAATTGCTATGTGAATGCAAAAACAAATCTTTGTGGTTTCGCTCGTAAATTTGAATGGAAAGTTTGTAATTAAATATTTAATCTTTAAAGGCAAAACTTTTTGAGAGAGGTTTTGATTATAAAAGGGCTTTAATTATCTTATTAGTGCCAACTATTCATTTTTCCCTCAGAAAGTCTTTTCAATCCAAGCTTTCCTCGCGAAATAAAGCCACCAATTTATTTTTGCCCATAGAAAATGGTATTTCTAACCATATCTTCTAGTAGGGCGGGAAAATAACTTTTAATTAATTGGAGATCCTGCCTGCCTCTGCCTATTGTTAGCCACTTTATGGTTGACGTATTGTATCGCCGTAGGGGGATAATGAGGTATTTTCGATCCGGGTGCATATGATATGCATGATGAGCCTAAGCTCAAATACAGTAATTTTGCATTATAACAACAATGCATTATTTTACAGTCGATGTTTTAAACCAACTTTTATATTAGCAGATTTATGTGATCTCTATAAAGTTTTGAGTACTTTTTGTAGTTTGAGTTGCTTATTGAAACATTTGGTTGACACCTATGGTGTAATTTAAACGGGCATGTGCTCACTAATTTTAATGCCCGAAAGGCCGAAAATAAATCGAAATTCCAATTTAAAATTGTTTTCCAACCACTTTTAAGATTTAGTAGCAAGTCCCGAGCTGGTTAGAAAGACTGCAAAATTGGTTTACAGTTAAAGTTAAACGTTTCAAAGTGGTAAATAAGCTTAAAACCCATTTTAGGCTTCGTTGACTTAAAAATTTCTTTCTTACTTCATCCCCATTTATACCTTCCGTAATATAATTTTACGATAATCTCATGAGCTTATTCCATGACCAGTGGATTTCAACGGTGTTTATTTTGATCATTGAATGCATAGAATAATAAATTGTTAATAACAACATGAATATTGTAAATAATTCTAATTAATCAATTAAATTTTTAGACCAGGCTGTAAATTTTTGGCTTTCTTCCTTAAAGCCGTTGGATTAGATTAAGTTGATAACATTTTATACCCAACTAATCTTAAATCTCTATTAAAGCTTGATTAATGATACAAACTTCATTAGCGGGTTTTTTCCCCGTGAACAGTACAACGAAGCTTTATACTCCAGCTCATTAAACGGTGTTTAATGCGCGTTTTTATTTGTGGTTTTAGAAATAATTCTCCTATGGAAAGACTTGGCCATTTATCTTTCTAACGGGCAAGTTTTAATCGTAATCTGCCTTAGCTGTTCTTGCAATAAGTGGGCTTTTTTTATAAAATTGATTACTCTAGAAGGCCACAAGTTCAATATGTGTGTTCGATAATACACTTGACATGGAAAAATTGGAAATTTACTTTTCTCAATCATTTTAAATTTAATTCCTATTCCTAATCCTTAATTAATTGAATGATATTAATTGGTCAAATGGACCACAAAAAATAGTGAATTTAATTCCTATTGTTGAATCACTAGTTCAATTCTTCTAATCAACGTTTTTCCAATTACAAAAATGTTTTTATTTTATACTTCTAACGTATATTCTATGATATCATGTTGTTTTAATACTTTTACAATTTTCAATTTTTGCATTCTATCTTATATTAGTTCGTTTTTTTAATGAAATCGTTAAATTTTATATAAATATTTTATATATATTTTTAAATTTTACATTTTGTTTTATTTTCTCTGAACATTGTACTATTGCTAAACTGAAAACGAGTTTCATCAGAAAAAACCCAAATTGTATTTTACGTTTCCATAAATTACTTTAAATAGAGTTTGAATGAATTGATTTTTCATGATTTTCCACCCGGTGGTTAAAGACGTACCGTGAATTGACAGTATTCGAAGAGTATTTTTAGGAAAACGTCGCACAAAATACAGCAAGAAAAGTTCAAAACTACGGTATCTAAGTTTGTATAAATAGGACTTCAGAAAATATCGGAGGAGGAATTATTTTATTATAATATTGGGTTGTCCGGAAAATAATGCAGGATTTTAAGTTTTCATTAAAAAAAATCTATATAAAATATTCTGTTTACGTTTACAGGATTACTCATTTGTATGAATGTCAACACTTATTAATCCTCTTCCAAATGATATTGTTTGTTTACCTCTGTAGCATTCCGCTACTTGGAAATAATTCAGTCATCCTTAATGTCAAAGCGAGAATTTCGTACGATTTTCTTTTACGAGTTTAAACTCGGCCGAAGCGGAGCCCAAACGGCTAGAAACATTAACCAAGTCTGGGGCGAGGGTTGTGTTAATGAGTGCACTGTGCAAAGGTGGTTTAAAAAATTTCGGGAGGGAGATTTCAGCCTTGAAGATGAAGAAGGTCGTGGAAGGCCTTCCTCTCTTAATGATGATGTTCTGCGATCAGTGGTGGAAGAAAACCCCAAAACAACTGTTCGAGAACTTGCAGAGCAACTCAAAGTCAGTAAAACGACCGTCGCTGACCACCTCAAGGCGATTGGAAAAGTGAAAAAACTCGAAAATTGGGTTCCACACTCATTAAACGATCGCCAAAAAAATCAGCGCTTTGATGTTTGTGCATCACTTCTTTGTCGAAACAAAAATGACCCATTTCTGGCCAGAATTGTTACATGTGACGAAAAGTGGATTCTGGACAGTGGCTCGACAAAGGAGAAGCTCCAATACATTTTCCAAAGCCCCCAACTCATCAAAAAAAGGTAATGGTTACGGTATGGTGGGCTTCATTTGGTTTAATACACTACAGCTTCTTAAATCCTGGCGAAACCATCAATGCTGAATCATACTGTAACCAAATTAATACCATGCATCAGAAATTGGCAGTAATGAAGCCCTCTTTGGTCAATCGGAAAGGGCCCATTTTGTTGCATGACAACGCTCGACCACATGTGTCACGTGTAACGTCACAAAAATTATTGGAGCTTGGCTATGAAACTTTGCCTCACCCACCCTACTCTCCGGACCTCTCGCCTACTGACTACCATTTTTTTAGACACCTGGACCACTACTTACAACACATAATATTCAAAAATCAAACGGAACTGGAAAATGCATTTATTGACTTTATCAATTCTAAAAATTCTGAATTCTACTCAGACGGAATTAATAAGTTACCAACACGTTGGGAGAAATGTATTGAGAGTATGGGAAATTATTTTGATTAAAGAACATTGCTTTAAAGTAACTAGTTTCTTTTTTTTTGTTTAATACCAAAATCCTGCATTATTTTCCGGACAACCCAATAAAATTACTGCTGCCAACAAAAACTACTTTTTATTCAGCTTTAAACAGATTCTTTTTACTCAGTAATATTTTAATATTACTAAGAATGTTTTAGCATGTTATTTTTAACAATTTTATAAATTGTAATTATTTATGTATTCAAAGTTTAGGCCATACAGTTTTTAAACCATATTCTGTGTCTATCTTGCGTTTTTAATTTATAATGACCTATATAGAAAAGATATTATATACTGATTTATTTTATTATTTTTTATTATTGTTATCTTTAAAATTTCGTAATAATTAGTGCTATGTAATACCGATTATTGTTAATTCACCATCCAGAACTTAATTAGTACAATTTAATAATAACGTTATGTTTGAATAATAAATTTTATCCTATATTTTGTAGGATTTTTTGAGACTGTCTTGAATTTGTCAATGCGGTGAAAATCGTTTTTGGTCTGTTTATTTTAGCTGTAGGACTGGGTTCAGATGCGTTTCGGCTCAACGCCATCTTCAGCATGAACAGCGAGATCGAGCGGACCATAGATGGTCAATTTTGATCACACCGCTGACAGTAATATTGGTGGAATCTTTTCCGTTGGAAATTTATGGCTGGGATTCAAAACCGAAAGGTCAAATCAATGAGGTAACAAATCCTCTGGAAGGTCAATCAGATTTCTTAGATGGTTCCTGTCAATAATGCACAAAATTGATGTTGTTACGGGTTCGTTTTGCATTAAAAAATTAGGAAATTATAAATTTTCTCTTTCAAAAATTTTCTGGAGGGTTAAATATTTTGAAAAAAAAGTTGTTGAATCGTACCAAATGAAAAAAATGTACTTACTTGATTGTTAAATAGATGTACCCCTGTTCGTTGCTTGGCATGAAATGCAGTTCATTTTAAAAATAATTTGCAAAAATTAAACGTGTCAAATTTTTCGTAGCGTTTGATCGCCATACCGAGTATGTTACAACCTTCAATTTTTATCGCAAATGTCTTCGACTTTGGATATAATTTTGTAAACTTTTTTTGACATATCCGATAACCGATTTGGAAAGAAGCTGGCTTAGCGGGAGGTCGAGGCTGACTGACAGCGGTCTCCCCGACTCCGTATCACTATTGCCAACCTTCAACCCGTCAGTTTCTCTCCCCCGGCATCACCCTCCTTTTTGCCCTCAACTAAATCGGATTCAGCATTTAATTTTTTTATTTTATTTATATTCTTTCAGGTGAATATTATTAACGTAAAATCGCAATGTTAACCAAAGAAAAACAATTCTAGGCAGGAAGTTCGAAAACCACTCATAAAATAAGAATAATTGGAATGAAACTCCTATCTGCTATTTTATGTTTAAATGAATCTTAAATTATAAGATATAAGCTTTTGGAGTGTCGCTAACTAAAAAATAGGCTTTTTTTTCTCTACTATTCATTTTTAGAATCAGATCAGTGGAAAAAATGTACATAGAAATATTAATTTTTAGAAAACATGAAAAGCTGAAAAAAAATCTTGTGAAAACTCGACTTTCAATTTTTAAAAGATCTAATTTTAAAACCTTGTTTTTGGTTATTTGTGCTCGTAAATGCTTATTTTATCCGAATTGTGTTTTACGTTTTGTCCGCGAATTATATTATTTAGTGTTATAATCCGTTCAAGAAAGATTATAATAAGAAAATTAATAAAAATTTGATATTTATGTATATTGTTGATAATGTTAGGGCCGGAAAATTAGAAAAATCATCGCCGCCATTTTCTTCTTTGATGTTCTTCTCCTATTTTTCGCATTTTATTATTTTATTAATTCTAATTAATCAATCGAAGATAAAAATAGACATATAATAAACACAAAGTAATTTACACACTTTATATATATNTATATAAATTTAAAAAACAAGTTAGTCGATTTAACATTCAAACTGGCTCAGAGTATTCGATATTCTTTGCGATAATTATACAAGAATAATCACCATTCATCCTGTTCCGGTATTTCTCAGAATAATTGGGAATGACATTCCTTCATTCACGCTAATAAATCACATTCATACTGTTCTACAATGGTCATTATTCCTCGGTATACTCGGGAAAAACGTTTCTCCATTCGTTAATAAATTGCATTCACACTCCAGCCGTCATTCACATGGTTTCAGAATACTTGATATTTCTCGATTCACATATAATTGGTACATTGTCATGGGCTAGTTTCTCATGGGCTAGTCATGGGTGACAACTTTGATACAAATAAGAAGGAATATAGACATACCACATATCTCATTTATTTGTGCCCTAGTCCAGAACAGTCCATGAGATGGAAGGCTTTGGGCCCTCAAATTTCGCAAATAAATACAATCCCAAAAATAAAATATAGATAAACATAGACCCAGAAAGATGAACTTTGCACAGTTAAAAATATTTATGGCTTTTAGGGATTGAACCTGCGATCTGTGCCTGCTCCTATATCCCAAGACCGCGCTTAGGCCACGTGGAATTTCGAATTTCTTTTCTTTGCAGACTGAATTCTCTAATTTGTAATTATGTGCTCTACAATGAGAGTTTGCCTCCACAACTGGCACCGTGTGGTCTCACCACCGAGGTGAGATGAAAAAGGGGAAATATGACCTTTTCCCTTCTAGTCCCAGCCTCCCCAGTCCGAGAACAAATGACTCTTTTAACTTTAAGTAATTCTTATGTTTTTTTCGGTTCAGCGGATTGTTCCCTCATTTCTTGCAATATTGTTCTTGTTATATCTTCTGGACAAAGTGGGTGGATTCGTGTGGTATGGAATTCAATTATTTATTAATAATTTTGTATGATTAATACTTTCTATACAGGGTGAATTGCTACTCGTGCTACAAACTTCTCCAGTAGATTCTTCACCCTAAAATGAACAAAAAAGTTCATATTGTCCATGGTCCGATTCTCAACCATTTCAGAGTAATTTCGCTTTTTATCGATTTTGAAAGATATCACGTCCTGGCGTCGGAAAATCGTGATATCTTTTAATCTAAACATTTCTCTGAAAATCTAATAGCACCGTTGAAATTCCCGTTAATTTTTCAATAAGAAGATGACGGTGGCAAAATGTTTGGGCTAATTTTTTGTGTTTTATTTCAGCCAGAACTACAAAAAGAGTGGAAAATTGTGTAAATCGGAAAGTGTATAAAGTAATCCAGAGTTTCTAATTTTAGTCTCAGAAGGCAGCAAATTTGAGGAAAACTACCTGATTTAATAACGCTTCCAACGCACTCGTCATTTTCTTATTTAGTGGTTGTGAGACCAAGATGTTGATGACAAAAAGAGAAAAAATGGTGGTTCAAGGATTGCTAATGTTTGAGAGTGACTCTTAAAATCGGAATCTTTGTAAAATCATTGTAACGGAATTTGGCAAGATTCGCACACGAATGGGATTTTTAGGTCGGTATGAATTATATGGTTAGAGACATAGACGGGAATATTAACTATTGTTCGAAGAATTTTGATTGTAGGGTTGTGGAATCGTTAAGATCGGAACACCTAGCCAAGTTTAAGTCCGTAGTCCATAAGTGATCTAGCAAGGTAAACTCTTAGTAGTCTGAGTCTTGTATTTATTTATGTTTGAGTCTCGTTTGAGGATTCCATTAGAGTCGTTTGTTGAAATACAATCCGAGGTGTGTATATATATAGAAGAGGAAGAGTTTTTGTTCAGTAAAAAAAACAATATATTTAGATTTAGTTTCATTTTCCTTGATTCTCCATTGGCGAAGATAGGATTCGGGTGTCTGTAGGAGATTTTGGAAATTAGTAAAGCTGTAAGGGTTTTTATCGGAGATGAGTACTGATATGTTATCGGCAAAGATAAAATGAATGTGTTAGGGTGATATCGTCTGGTAAATTGGGTAAAGCAGGGGCACCCTTTAAGAACCAACGAGAATCGGGTAAATGGAAAAGAAGGAAGCAGTTTCGACAATGTTGAAGTGACGTTCTGTGGAATATGATTTCAGAATAATATATAAAGTAGATCGTAAGATGGACCTTTATGTCCACAGATGCCCTGTGAAATGCCTGGGATATGTAATAACGATAACAGGGCAGTACTGCTTCAGTTCGAGGGCTATGGACGTAGAACTAAATACCTTCATTTGCTGACTCAACTTATAAGCGGCCATGGACGAACTCGAGAATATCTCTGTAAATTCCCCATAACACAGGTTTCGGAATGTGACTGTTCAGGGATACCTTAATAAACATGGGCCCACATCTTATTCAACTGTCCCATTCAAGAACCTTGCCGTTAAGCTCTAATAAGGGACGCTGTATGTAAAGGTGGACAATTGCCACCTGATCATAACATTTTGATTAAAGACTATATTGAAGCCTTAATTAATTTTGTTAGTAAAATTATATTAAATTAATTGTAAATAATAATTTTATATGGATATGAATAACTGAAATCACTATGGTTTCAGATACTAAATAAATTCTTCAGCGTTAGGGATACAAAGGTTAGAAAAAATAATTATATGCCGTGCTCAAGAACAGGTCTCATATCAGGTGACATTCCTATGTGCTCTCTGTAAAGATCCAAGAAGTTGCACCTTTCTATTAGATATGACACATCGAACAACCTTTGTCCACATGACGGACCCATTCGCGGGCTTTGGCACTAAAGTAAGCGTCCCTCTGTCAACCACGCAGTAGCCCGAGTTCAGACCATAGTTTTATCCGTCTAGCCACCGAGGTTGCGCCTCAGAGGCTATCAATAGCTATTTAAGTCCTGAACGCAATTTGTTTCTAAACCTATACGCTTTCACTCGTATTTTTCTCTTATATACCAACTACTCCATATTTCTCTATCACCTTTTTGACCTTTTATTTAACTATACAAATTGAGGTTTGATGGGGTAATTGTCATTCCACTATCGGTTCTCTCACACTACGCATTCACGCTAATAAATATATTCAATTTCAACATGCACTTGAGACACAATACTATGCGACAAGAAGTATTTGTTTGCATTTATAATATGAATGCGCTTTTTTATGAATATAGAGAACTAATTAAGAAATCAATAATGAAATTATAGATGTATTCATTCGAGGAGACAAAGTTGCAATGCTCATCATTTATAAATGTTTACATAAGGCAGTCTGTTTGTATATCACAAATTAAGCCCTATGTAGTAAAAAAGCGGAATCTTTGTCCAGGTTTTTTTAAATATTTTATAAATGTCTCGTTTCCTATTGTTTCCATGTTTATTTCGTGTCTGGTCGTAATGATTTTTCCTTTGCATATTTAAAAAAACAATCATCTTCTCGGGTTTGTTGACACCAGCGTGTACGACATTGTGAACGTCAATATTTCGTGGATTTTCGGTGTATTGAATCATTTTAGTATTGTGTGTTAAGTAAATGAAATAGTTTTATGTTGAATATACTTGATTTTAGGAATGAACGAAAAACCAGCATTAAAAAATATAGTGGAATAAAATATGTAAACAGCTCAAAATGAAGACGGATATTTGTATGTTATTCTTATTCTATTAATTTTAATTAAATTAACCGATATATTCTTGTTGGACAAAACAAAATAGAAAGCACAAAGCAAAAACAAAGAAATGTTAATCTTCATTTTTAATATCGGATTTATATAAGAATAGTAAAGATGAAGATTACTAATTTTGAATACAAACACCTTTCCTCGTCTTTTCACCATTTTAATCCAGTTGTATTTTCTTTAGCCATGGCAAAACATCTTGACCAAGAAGATCGCAATATTACTATGAGAATGAGTCATCGAGGACACCGGCAAGTGGATATCGCAGAGGCAGTTGACGTTTCTCAGAGGGTGGTCTCCCGGGCTTTAGCCCGTTTCAGGATAGTAACAAAAGGATGAGGATCTCAGCGTATTGCGACGCTAAGGAAAGACAGAAATATTGTCATTGCTGCACGACGGAACCCTTTCCACAGTGCCCGCCGTATCCTAAATGAAGTGCAATATGTTTTGGCTAGGCCTTTATCAACACAAATGATCCTTAATCGTTTGTGGGAATTTGGCCTCTCATCGAATGCCCTTTGACATGCAGCAACAGCCCGCCACCAGCAATTCAGGAGAA